GTGCAGGTATCTGTTCCATAGAGTGTTTTGAGCTCTTCTGGATATAATCTCAGTAGGGGGATTGCGGGTTGTATGGGAGGTCGATTTTTAGTTCTTTTAGGATCCGCCACACTATTCTCCACAGAGGCTGTACTAGTTTACACTCCCATCAACAGTGTAGAAGTGTTCCCTTTTTGCTGCATCCTTTCCACCATCTGCTGTTTTTGAGTTACTGACGATGGCCATCCTGACTGGAGATAGCTGGTATCTCAGTGTGGTTTTAATTTGCATTTCTTTGATGACTAGTGAGGCTGAGCATTTTTTCATGTATCTGTTGGCTGCTCATATGTCTTGTTTTGAGAAGTGTCTATTCATATCATCTGCCCACCTTGTAAAGGGATTCTTTGTTTTTTTCTTTTCAGCACGTTTGAGTACTTTGAAGAGCATAGATGTCAGGCCTTTGTCAGATATACAGTTGGCAAATATTTTTATCTGTCTGTGGGCTTTCTCCCAACTCTCTCAATTGTTTCTTTGGCTTTGCAGAAGCTTGTCAGTTTGATGAGGTCCCACTTGTCAATCTTCTCTCTTAGGACATGGGCACTAGTGGTTTTGATCAAATAATTGGTTGCCAGGTCCATTTCCCATAAGGGTGACTCCTGTATTTTCTAGGTTTCTTATAGTTTGTTTCACATATAGGTCTTTGGTCCATTTAGAGTTGATTTTTGTGTATGGTGATAGGTAGGGGTCTTGTTTTAAACTTCTGCATATGGGTTGCCTGTTTTCTCAGCACCATTTACTGAATAGGTTCTCCTCTACCCAGTGGTTAGTGGTAAAAGAAGATGTGTTGGTTGAGAAATTGAGATTTTCCTTCTGGAATCTCTATCCTGTTCTATTGGTCTATATGTCTGTTCTTGTACCAATAGCAGGCTGTTTTGATTGTTTTAGCTTTATAATAAAGCTCAATGTTTAGCAGCACGATGCCTTCCACTTTGTTTTTTGTTTGTTTGTTTTCTTTTCTTTTGTTTTTGCTGAGGATTGTTTTGGCTATTCGTGACCATTTATGTTTCCATATGATCTGAGAAGAATGCTGCTGGTAATTTAATGGGTATTGCATTAAATCTGTAGATTGTCTCTCCTTTCCCTTGTCATGAATTCAGAGTCATTCTCTGTTGTTCTTTCCCCTCCAAATCCCTGCCCATCCACCATGTCCTGTGAATTTTTGCTCCAGTGGCCCCTGTCCATGCTCCCAGCCACCACCACACCCCAGGGCTCCATCATTCCCAACTTAGGCCCCTGCGGACACCTCCATCTTGACTCAGACTGATGATCCCCAGAGTTATCTCAGAAGTCATGAAGCAGACCATGGCACCCAGCCACATGCTTAAACCCCTTATTGACAATCCATAACACTAAGTATGAAATAGAAACTCCTCCCCATGGCTAGCAAAGCCCTGAGTATTCAGGTTGAGTACAGCCACCTCATTCCATGGCCCAGGTCACAGGAAACAACCTCATCTGTTTCTGGGCCTCTTATTATAATTAGTCATTATTGCAATGATTGACAGACTATGAATTTTGCAGTATTCCTCCATGTTATCACCTTAAGAACACTCCTTCCACCACTCATCTTATCTTTCAGAGAACATTGTTTTCACCAAATAACAACCAAGTTTTCCTCATTTCCTTCATCAAACTATTTTTTTTCTGGCATGATTTTGAAATCTCATTTAGATTTCAATTGAAACAGGACTGGATTTTGAGAATCTGTATGAAAGTCACTGTCACTCTTTGAGGAATGTTCAGGCCCCACTTAGGGCTCAAATCTGGCAGGCCAAAATCTCCAGAGACTTGTTGCTGTTTCAGTCTCCTGGCTCCCAAATTCCTGCAGCTGACTGAGTCATCTTAAAACTCAGAAGCCACCATCTAATTAAATAAAAGACAGAACTTACATGTCTAAAATATTCAGCCCTGTTCTGAAGAATGGGGCCAAATACATCACTTCTCACCTCAGCTGTTCTCACAAGGGTGGAAAAGACTGAGTGAATAGACACCCAACACTGAGCGATGATCTTATGTCCTTTGTGCCTGCACTCAACACATGACAAGGATCCTGAATGCACCAGAGAAGGGCGCCTCCAGATGCCCATGTGCATCCCCACTTGGTCAGAATACAGCAAGGGACAGATGGTATCTGTTGCACAGAGTACCTGAAGTGTGGGACTTCAAAACTCAGATAGACCTGGAGAGGAAATGAAGCATTTCAATTTCTTGGAGTCTTCTGACAGAGGACTGAGGTTCGATTTAGAGAAAATCAACCAGAAAGGCACATTGAATCTAACAGGCCTAGTCTCTTTAAGAAACAAGACTCTAGGATGAGGAAGAAATCGGCAGGGCTATGGGATCTGTCTCTGTCTGTGGGGACCTCAACTGTCTCTGTCTTTGAGACCCTCGACTCATCTGAGAATCTTTTCAATGACCCCATTTGCTTTATCCCTAAGTACTTCCCAAGCAGCAACTCTTGACTCTCCGCATGTTCAGGGAAAGAGGAAGGCAGGAAGAAGGAAACAGAAACAAAGCCCTAAGTACAACTTTCTTTCTTCTCCTCTCCCTTCAACTGGGAGACATTCAACCAGATAGGACTCAGTTGAAGGGTGGCTTATGGGAGCAGGTTGGGTGAGGTGGGAACCTGGGAGATGGATTTGCACAAAGTTCACCCTCCACCAAAGTGTCAGAGGAAAGAGGGGAAGTCAGAGGAGTGCTGCACCTGATGAAAGGTCCAGAGAAATAACCTTTGTGGGGCTTCATTCCATGTCCTGGACCACTGTCCTTTTCATGGGCCTTTGCTCAGGTCAGGATGGAATTCCTGTGTCTTCAGGAAGGAAGTGAACAAGGGGCTCTCTGGGGAGTCTCCCTTCCTGTTGTGCTCACAGACTTGCCTTTCTCTGTAACACCCGTCAGCTGCCAGCTCCTGACTGTGGTGACTGGAGCCCTCTCTCACAGGAACTCCTGGGTTCCAGTCACTCTCACCTACTCTATGAGAGCAGGACCTATTATGACTGGTAACACAATAGGACAGCTCCTGAAGAAACCTGGACAAGCTTTCCTGTGGTTCACACAACAAACAGACAAATGCTCCACATCATCCCCAGCTGCATTAGGCTCCATCCTTTTGGACCCAGCTATCTCCACCATTACCGGGTACAAGCTAAGCATTTCTGTATCTTGTGGCACTACAAACTTGCTTCACAGAAATGCCTTCCTATGGAAGCTGGACCGAGAACTCCAACAGCACATGCAGTGTCCTTGGGGCAGAGGGCAGACTTCCCCATTCTGGGAAAGTGCTAAAGCCCACCATAAATTCAGTTTTGTCTGCTCCCCTTAAGCCTGGCCTGGGTACAAAGTTATTGGAAACATTTCTGTCCCCCGAGACCTGTGAAGGCCCTTCACTGTTGCTTGTGTTCATTGCAACAGGGAGGAGGTGTGGACATGGCCTGATTGTTTTTCTCTTGGTCATAAGACTTTTGTCCAGGGAAGATAAGGAATTCTCCTTTAGAAACAATGTGATGAACTTTACCACTGGATAACACATACATGTTGGTAGAAAATTTCCGAATTCAGCCAACGGCAGATGCTGTTGCAGTCACCACTCAGTGGGTGCCCATTTCCCAGCTACACGGCCTTCTCTGGGAGTGGAGCTTGGGCTCTCAGACTGCAGTCACCTCATGAAGGGGTGCCTGGAAGAGACACCCATCACCACCCCACATAGCCAATGAATGAATGGGGCAGGGGTCAGAAGCCCTATTCATTGGCCTCCAAGTAGGACACACCTTGTGGTGCTATTCTGCTCCAGGCTGGAGCCTGACTTTACCTCTGTACCTTCCCTATCCTGTTCCTCTCCCCATTCTGGTTTCTTTTGAAAACATTCCTCAGTAAACCACATAGGCTAAATTCCCATTTCAAGCTCTGCCTTCCTGAGACTATACTTGGGTATGAGGAAAGAAAAAGGCCCCTCTCCTGGTCTTCATGTTAAGACAATTACATGCACCATTTCTTTGTATCCTCCGTCCCTAGGCATAGAGCACTGCGCTGTTTATGATATGGCTGCAGAGAATACCACTTGGGTTTTAATCAACTAGACCCTAATGGTTCCCACCAGGATTTTGATATTACAAATAGCAATAAAATGAATATCCTCATGTGGACTCCATGGGTTTATATGAAATATAACCATCAGATAAGTTTTTAAAAATAGAATTGCTGGGTTAAAGTGTGTGTCTTTGTATATTTTTTCCATGTGTTTTCAGCTTCCCCTTGAGAGGGGCTGTACCAATTTGCAGTGTCAGCTATAAGTATTTGATCAGAATATAGGGTTGAAAATATAGATTTTTGTCAAGCTGTTAGGTTAAAAATATTACCTTGTGACAATTTATTTTGAATTTCACCTATTTTGCTTGAGGTTGAGATTTTATCAAATATTTCAGTGTATTTTTTAGGATTTGGTAAACTTTTCTGAAGTGTTCAAATAAGTTGTATTTAAGTTTTGTGGGCAAAGAGTCAACATCTAGCATGTATTAGGTGGTCATTTTGCATGACCTAGTGATAGACAGGGGATACCATTCCTTCTGTGGGCATCAGGGGACACTGTGGGTCTTGACTTAGAAGCTTAATAACTCCTAGTCCCCTGGTAGTGCTCCGGTGCAAAGGGTGTGCCTGAGACTTCCTTTGAGGCTTTTCTATCATTTCAAAATGCCCTCCGTTCATGATATACATCTGGCCCTTCTTCTGAACTTGGAAAATTGCCAACATGAGACCCTCAGGCTCAAAGCTCAGACAAGAGCTCAGACAGACAAACTGAACAATGGAGAACAGACTTGCATTGCATCCTCACCAGGGTGCCACCCAAAAATGTTACAAGAGGAGGATATCATGATTTGCATGAAGAGTCTCTCCATCCTATAAGAGTGACCTGGAGGCCCACCCCAGCTGTGGGTTCAGAGTTAGAACTTTGAGGTGTCTCCATCATGGCCTGGACCCCTTCCCTGCTCACCCTCCTCACCCTCTGCACAGGTACGGACTCCTGGGGCTCAACGCCTGGAGAACTTGGAATCAGCTTGGCCCTGACCTCCGATCCACACCGGGGGTGATGCAGGGCAAGAGCCACTAGGAATGAGACCCTTCATCACAAACTCATCTCTCCTGTCCTCTTTTGCAGGTTCTGTGACCTCTTCTGAGCTGACTCAAGTGTCTGCAGTGTCTGTGGCCTTGGGACAGACAGCCAGGATTACCTGCCAGGGTGATGACTTAGAAACATACTATGCACACTGGTACCAGCAGAAGCCAGGTCAGGCCCCTGTGCTGGTCATCTATGATAGCAGTAACCGGCCACCAGGGATCCCTGAGCGATTCTCTGGCTCTGATTCAGGGAACACAGCCATTCTGACCATCAGTGGGGCAAAGGCCGAGGACGAGGCTGACTATTACTGTCAGTCATTTGACAGCAGTGGTAGTTATCCACAGTGATACAGACAGATGGGGAAGTGAGACACAAACCCCATCTCTGTTGGTGTCATCCTCCTCCTTCAGCCCCAGAAGGACTATGGACAAAGCCATGAACAGGCCTATAACCCAGCACTTCGGAGGCCAATGCAGGAGGATTGCTTGAGCCCAAGAATTTAAGCCCAGCCTAGGCAACATAGTGAGACAAAATAAGAAAAATTGGTTGGGAGTGGTGACTCATGCCTGTAGTCCCAGTGACTTGGGAGGCTGAGGCAGGAGGATCATTTGAGCCCAGTTCAAGTCTGCGGTGAGCCATTATCATGCCACTGCACTCCAGCCTTGGTGAAAGAGTGAGACCCTGACTCAATAAGAAAAAAAAGACATTCTTTTTTTTATATAACCAATGTGATGGATTTGAATTTGAATGCTAGATATACACTACTGTAGGAAGTGAATCCTCTGGCAGATGCTTTTGGAGTCACCATTCAGTGGATCCACTCATCTCTCAGCCTTCTCTGGAGGTAGATTCTGGGCTCTCGGAGTGAAACCACCTCATGAAGCAGTGTCTGGGAGATACACCCCACCACCACCTAAATAAATGAGTGGGCCATAGGACGTAAACCTTGCTCGCTGGCCTCCAAGTAAGACACACCTTGTGGTGCATTTCTGCTCTGGAGTTTCCCCAGTGCCAGGATAGCACCTGACTTTACCTCTAAACCTTCCCTTCCCTACTCCTCTCTCCATCCTGCTTTCTTTGTAAATCACACAAGCCCAAGTTCCACCTCAAATTCTCCTTCTATGAGATTGTACTTGGGAGATAGGAAAGAGGAAGTCACATGTCCTGGTCCTCATGTCAAGACAACCACATGCATTATTTCTAGTTGTACCTCCATTCTAGGCACTGCCCCCATTCATAATAAGGCTGCAGAGGGTCCCATGTACAATTTTTTGTTTGTTTTTTTGAGTTGGAGTCTCACTCTACCGCCCAGACTGGAGTGCAGTGGCCACTTCCGGTCACCGCAGCCTCGACCTGCTGGGCTCCGGCAATCCTTCCACCTCAGCCTACCAAGTAGCCGGAATTACAGGCATGCGCTACCACGCCCGGCTGAGTTTTTGATTTATTGTAGAGATGAGGTCTCGCTGCCCAGGCAGGTCTCAAACCCGCAGGCTCAGGCAATCCACTCACCTCAGCCTCCCAAAGGCGCGGGATTACAGGCTGAGCCACCAAGCCCAGCTCCATGTGCGTTTTAACCCATTACTTCTTAATGGTCCTCATCAGGATTTGGATCTTACAGATAACACTATAATGAACATCATCCATCAGACTTGTTGGATTCATGGGTGTATATGACCATTGGGAATATTTCTAGAAGTTAAACTGCTGTGTCAAGGGAGGTGTGTTTGTTATTTTCACCGATTATTTTCAGAATCCCCTGTAGAGCACAGTACCACTTGACAGTATTTTCTACAAATGTTTGAGCAGAGTATATTCTGCCAACCTGTTAGATTAAAGTGTTATCTTGTGACAGTTTTGGTTTTTCTTGGATTTCTAGCATTTTCTGAAATATTTCAGGACTTTGTATTTATCAGCAATTGGTAAATTTTTTCTTAAATGTTCACATAATAAGTGTGTTAGGCTTTGTGGGCCAAGAGTCAACTTTGAGGATATAATGTAGGTATTATCAATATCATTGACAATGTACCTACTTAAAAATATAAAGACCACACATGAGCTTGGGACCATTAAAAAAAGAAGTTGACATTTAGAGATTAACTCGTAGTATGTGGTTTTAAAGATCCTTGTTTTAGAGGATAATGTGAAGTTTGAAAATTCCACTAGCCTATGTCTTAAATGGCAATCTTTTTGTGAGGAACACTATATTTTAATTCCTGTAGTACCCTGAGGTCTTTCTGTGAACAAGAACATACTTTTATCATTACTTTGGTTAGATTTGGGGTTTTGCCCAAGGCAGTACTATGTCACAATCTCCTACCTTTTCTCTCTTTTTTTGCTGAATTCTGTGAGGGTTTAAGATCAGGAATAAATTCCTCTAGATATAAAATCAGAGAGGAGGAGGGGAAAATGGACAAGGAAGCTTGAACCAAAGTCTGGAGTCATCAAGGAGACTGGGTGAAAATGAAGCCATTAGTGTGGGTCCTTATCCAATCTGACTATAGTGTTCTGAAGATGAGGATATTTGAACTCACAGAGATGAGATGTTAGAGGTGAGTATGCAGAGGAAGGAACACATGAGAACAGGAAGCAGACAGCTATCTGCAGGCCAAGGAGAGATTCCTCAGCAGAAACCAAAGCTACCAACTCCTGTATCTTGGGCCTCTAGATTCAGAACTGTGAGGAAATAAGTTTCTGTGGTTTAAGTGGCCATGTCTGTGGTATCCTGTTATGATTGCACTAGCAAATGACGATGAGCAGGAAACCAGAGGCCAGGGATGAGGGAGGAAGTAGATGGAGCAGGAGGCAGAAGGCAGGGTAGGAAGGGCTGGAAGGTCAGGACTGAGGTGAGTTTCTTGGAGGGAATATTGACTATATTCATTATCCACTGGGGATTTTGGGAAGAAAAGTATTCAACTTGCCAATGTAGATTCTTTAATGAAGATTGTGTCTTGTGTATAGGGTTCCCAGTTCTCATATTCCATGTTATAAGTTTTTTTCTTGAGGTTACATTTGTAAAACACTTACCAGTGCTTCTGGCATAAACTACAGGCTTCTAAGTAGTCATTCTGTATGAACTAGAGTTACATGGAGGATGGCATTGCTCTTGAGGGCACCAGTGGGCACAGCCAGTCTTGACTGGGGACCACAGTAACTCCAAGTTCCCTTGTGGTGCTCAAGTACAAAGGGTGTAACTGATGTTTCCTCTGAGACCCCTTTGGGGGGGTGAAAAATACTCTCCATTCATGACATTCACCTGACCATGTTGCTGAACCTGACAAATTTCCAGTCTAAGGCCCTCAGGCTCAGGGTTCAGACAGTCACCTTGAAGAATCTAGACCAGATATCATCCACCATCACCAAGAAACCACGCAACAAACTACAGAAAGAAGGAAGTAGTTTTGCATGAAGAGACTTCCCTTTCAAGGATAAAACGGGCATGGATATCTCTTTCCTATCTGAAGACCCAGAAGAAGAGCTCTGGCATGCCTCTATCATGGCCAGGACAGCTTCCCTGCTCACTGCACTCTCTGCACAGGTGCTACCTCCTAGGATCAGCTTTTTTCTGACCTTCAGCTCAGCACAGGGAGTGAAATCCTCATACTGAGATTCACTTCTTCTGCCTTCTGTTGCAGGCTCCATGTCTTCTTCTGAGCTGATTAAGCTGCCTTCAGCATTTGTAGCCTAAGGACAAACAGCCAGGATCACATGCCAGGAAGATGACAAAAGAAGCTATCATGCAATTTGGTATTCAGCAGAAACTAGGCCAGGCCCCAGTGCTGGTCATCTAGTTTAGCAGTAACTGACCATCAGGAATCCTTGAGAAATTTTCTGGTTCCAAATCAGGGAACATGGCCACCCTGATCATTAGAGGGGCCCAGGCTGGAGATGAGAATGATTATTATTGTCAGGCATGGGATAGCAGTGGTACTAATATTCAGTGAAGCAGACAGATAGGGAAGTGAGACACAAACCCCTCCTCCTTCAGTGTCACCCTCTTGCTCCATCATCAAGAGGACTGTGGACAAATCCATGAGCAAGAATGGCCCAGTTCACCTGGATCTGAGAGCCTCAAGGTTCCCTTTACAACAACCACCAGGGAGGCTCTGCAGAGGATACATCAGGAGGGGCTTGGAGAATCATGTCAAGACTGTCCTGGTGTTGACTGGTCTAGAGTGTGACTTAGAAAACATCTTGAATTTACCTACAATCAGAAGGAGATATCTGTCAAGTGTTTATAATTTCTGTATTTCCATATATGTGGTCATTGTCCAAGCCCAGTTCTTCTGCTCATGCCCAAATATCCATAAATGTACCTCTGAACTACCCTAGTGTAGCCCCATCTAAACCACATCATCTTGATATTGACCAAAGACCAGTTTAGTAAACTCTGGAGATCTGTTCTTCAGGGCAAAACTATCAAACCACTGTGGCTGGGAATCACGGAAACTTACAGCTCTGCCCTCACTGGGCATTGCTATTGGCTGCAGAGGAGGGCCTCCACCAAGGTTTCCCTCTCTCAGAGTGGAGCTTAGGTCTAATAACTATTTGAGATCAAAATACTAAGGTCCTATACTTCCTCCCAGAGAGGCTATTCCATTACCAAACTGCAGGCAACTTTCTCTCTCAGGCTTTGATTTCAGGGATCTTTCCCTACCCTCTTCCTCACTCCACCAACCCCCAAAATCCCAACAGTCTACAGGAAACTGTATGGAAGAAAGGAGGACTACACAGAGACAAGATTCTGGACTTTGAAAATATTTTTGGGTACCGATGAGCACATGTATGCACAGAAATACTTGAGCCTTAGAAAGGAATCTCCTAAAGGCATTGAGAAAGCAATTGCAGGGCTCACAAACATATGCAACATACATACACACATAAAACCATAGGGAGAATTATTCTTACAACCAGAATAAAAATGCCTAATAGAGAATATCAGATTAAGTAGTCAGAGCGATTGATCCTGTGCTGGGGACGAACTAGCTGTGAATTGCTATTTGCTCCTGCTCCAACAAAGATAGACTAAGAGCAAGGTAAGAGAGGACCCAACTGTTTTCAAGTCACTTTTCTGAATGCAAGAAGGAAAAAAATACATAGAGGAATACAAATACACCATGTACCCAATCAACAAAAATTCACAAATGCCAGAAATGTATTAAAATTCCTTCTGATAAGCAAGAAAATATGAGTCACTACAAACAGAAAGTTTGATCAATCCATCAAGGTTCTGAATTTGCACATATAATGATTTGCTAGACAGGATACAAATGCAGTGATTGTGACTGTCTGCCATTACTTCAGGAGATTTGAGTTAGTTAATTGCAGAAATTGAAGACAAAAAAGACAC